CTGACCAGTGACCGACCAGTGACCGACCAGTGACCGACCAGTGACCGACCAGTGACCGACGTGATGGGCCTTTACTTGGGTAGTGACCGACCAGTGACCGACCAGTGACCGACGGACCCGTGACAGACCCGTGACTGACCCGTGACTGAAAAATACGTCCTAGACATTTTGTCAAGCACGCCACCCGTGACAGCCCCGTGACCACCCGTGACCACCGTGACCCCCCCCCCCCCCTAAGCCCCCCCCCCCCCTTACCCCCCCCGGCTCCCCCCCCCCTCCGCCTGCTTCAACCAAATGAAGCCTTTGGTTGACCCCCCTCCCCCCTCCGCCTGCTTCAACCAAACGAAGCCTTTGCCTCCTCCCCGCCTCCGCCTGCTTCAACCAAACGAAGCCTTTGGTTGAGCCCCCTCCCCTTCACCGGCCCCCCGTCCACAACCCCCGCTCCCAGCCAGTTCCGGCCACTTCGGACCACTTTAGGCTACACACATTTTGCTGATTGCTCGTTTGTGATTACATTGATTTGACTCTCAAGCCACACTCTGCCATTCATTTTGTGTTTTTGTGACGTCTGTTGTTTTTGCGCCGTTTGTATGTCCATCTGATCTACACACCCTGCGCTCCTAACATTTGCCCGCGTAGTGAGTGTTATTGACTTAGGTGGGGCACATCGTTCTGGATGCGTGTTTAGTTTTTGTGGTGCGCGTGAACTGGTTGGAACGGCTGTACTTGACTGCTGCGGCACACACTGTTGTAGGTACTTGTGCTTGTGTCGATAAACTGGATTGCCCGCATGTTTGTGACACTGGTTTGGGTCTCATCTTATACACATCTTGCATCTTATGGGTTCACTTGACCTGCCTGGACCCAACAAAAAACATTCGGTGGCTTCCACCAATGATGTGTGTGTGTGTGAGAGTGTGTGGCAAGTCCTTAGGGTTTAGGGTGTGAGGACACCTGTCGTTGCACCTTGCTTGGTCCTTTTTGAACTGAATCCTCCGCGAGCCTTTGGGTTCAACCATGGACCTTAGGGCCAAGGAAGAACTCTTGCGGGGCATGGATGAAGACAACCCCAACACGGTGGGGGTGGTTGTAGGACATGTGCATGACGGGCTGATGGACTCGTCTGTGCACCAGAGGGTTACGTACACGCGCGCACCATCGGGGACGCTTTTTGACAGCCAAGCCACGAAGAACACAGACACGCAGATGGAGCCGCCTGGGGCTTATTACCTCCAACAAAGGGGTCATCGCACGTGTGACTAGTGTCAAACACCAGCGTGCCCCCACGGTTCAGGTCGCAGCTGGAAACCCAAGAGCCGGAGGCCGGCGTTGTTTTGTGAGCTCTCACTCCACCGTGGAAACAATTTGTTGCGCAGGATGCTTTGGATGCCACTCGCTCTCACCTCCCCAAGACCGACTTGAGAGTCTGGATGAAGCCGGGCTCCATTTGGGACGCCCCACTCAGTGTCCAGAATGGGCCACTTGTGCATCTGCGTGACAAGCCCCTTGCGGCTGTCAAGTCCAAGCCGCAACCTGGCCATTCGATGACCAACGCTGGTTCTGATCTGGCAGATGTGGATGATGCCATGATGACAGTGCAACGCAACAAAGCCGCACGCGCGGCTGCAAACCCAGCAGTAGCAACACCTAAAGTGGCACCAGCCACTGAAGAACCAGCCGCAGCAACGCTCGATAAGATGGCGTCAGCCACTCGGGTCGACAGACTGTATGACAAACAACAGGCAGTGCTGGCCACACACACCCAGTGGGCGGATGCGGCGGCCAAACTAGCCACAGATCGCGCATCAGAGGCTGATCGCTACGCGGCGACGGTGGCAGCCAACCGGAAACGAGTTGCAGATGCCCAGACATCAGCAGATCCGGCAAACCAGCAGCAGGGAACAGAGGCACAGACAGCACACGCAGCGCACACACAGGCAGTGCGCGAAGCCGCACGCGCGTCGCGTGCAGCGGAAGCCATGAGAGCGGAACGCAATTTGCAGCAATTTGCGGCAGATGCCGAAGATGCGGCGCGAGTCGCTCATGCGGCCTACACAGCAGCCTCCAGATCCTGGACGCAACCCTGGAGGCCGGCAACACGGAGGAGGAGGAGGACACGGCGGCCTCGGCCCTGCTGCTGAAGCACGAGTTCCTCGACGGAGGGGCCGACGACGTCACGCTGGCCACCCTGGGCGAGGTGCTGCTGGAGCCCACGCTCACCACGCTAGGCAATTTTCTGGTGCGCTCCAACAGCCAGAGCTCCGTGGCCTCGGCCAGCTTCACGGTGGGAGGCTTCCAGCTGGAGGGCTACGCCATGACCCTGAGCGCCTTCGCCTGGAACATCGTCGCACCTACACCCTGACGCCGGGGAGACGCTACTCCTTCGGCTGCCGGTACCGGCTGGGCACGGCCTCCAACTTGGTGATGTACGTCAGCGCGGCCGACAACGACTACGTGGGCGTCACCGGCACCTTCCTCGGCACGCCCGCGCAGGGAGTCTGGAGCACGGCGCGCCTGGACTTCTCGGTGCCGCCGGGCGGAATCGCGAAGCTGCACTTCGGAGCCTTCGGCGGCTCGATCCCCGGGCTGGTGCAGCAGTCGGCGGGCACGCTGGACCTGTACAGCATGCAGATCAGGGCCAGCGCCTTCGAGGGAGAGTCGGTCTCCGTGACGGACCTGCTGGCCGACTCGCTGGCCCTCACGGGCTCGGCCACGCTGGACGGGCTCACCGCGCAGGGCAACGTGGGCTGCGACCAGCTGCTCTGCAACGACGTGAACTGCACGGACGTCTTCACGACGGGCGTGGACGCCTCGGGAGCGATCTCGTGCGCAGCGCTCACGGCCAGCGGCGCCGTGTCCGGAGCCACGCTGACGTCCGCCGGCGCCGTCTCGGGCAGCTCGCTGAGCATCGGCGGGCAGCCAGCGTGGGCGTGCTGACCTCGGCCACCGGGATCTCCGGCAGCACGTTGACGATCACGAACACGGCGAACGCCGGGAATTTCACCACGGTCGGGGACGTGTCCACGGGGACGCTGACGGCCTCCGGGGCCGTCTCTGGCGCTTCCCTAGCCATCACCGGCGCGGCCTCCACAGGCCCGCTGGACTGCGAGAGCCTGGACTGCACCTTCACCGCTACGAGCGGCGGCGTGTCGACGGGCAGCGTGGTGTGCGGCGACGTGACGAGCTCGGGCACGGTCTCCGCGCCGCAGCTCTTCGCATCCAACACCCTCACCGTGACCAACACCTCCGACTTCTCGGACGATCTCTCTTTGACGAAGAACTGGGCGGGCTGGAGCAAGGTGCAGATCTCCAACAACAGCTCCGCCTCCAACAGCGGCCCGGAGCTCCGGCTTCTTGGCAACCAGTCCGCACGAGTCTTCCTGGAGAGGGATGGCGGAGCGCACCAGTGCGAACTCTTCATGATCAACGACGAGGCCCTGATACAGACTAAGAGCCTCTCGACGCAGCTGTCGCTCACGACGAACCAGCGGAACCCAGGATGCCTGGTGATCGCCGGCAACACCGGCAACGTGGTCTGCAACACGAGTTTCACCAACTTGTCGGACAGCAGGGTGAAGACGGAGATGGCCGAGGCCGACGTGGAGGAGCTCAAGCAGCTCTTCGATTCCGTGGAAGCGAAGCAATACAAGCGCCCCGACATGAATGGGGACCTGAGGCTGGGCTTCGCCTCGAACGACTTCGCAGGAACGAAGTGGAAGAACCTCACGGGCACCGCCCGGTGGAGCGTAGCGGCGGCCGAGCAGGCAGCGCGTGACCTGCAGCAGCAGAAGCATGACGCAGAGGCTGCGCTCGCGGCATCAGCCCTGGCGGCCACAAACGCAGAGCGCGATTTGCAGCAGCAGCAACAGCAGCAGCAGGCAGCTCAAACAAACCTGGCGGCCACAAATGCAGAGCACGATATGCAGCAGCAGCAGCATGTGACAGCGCAGGCAGCTCAAACAAACCTGGCGGCCACAAACGCAGAGCACGATTTGCAGCAGCAGCAGCATTGTTTGACAGCGCAGGCAGCTCAAAAAAAACCTGGCGGCCACAAACGCAGAGCACGATTTGCAGCAGCAGCAACAGCAGCAGCAGCATTTGACAGCGCAGGCAGCTCGAACAAACCTGGCGGCCACAAACGCAGAGCACGATTTGCAGCAGCAGCAACAGCAGCAGCAGCAGCATGTGACAGCGCAGGCAGCTCAAACAAACCTGGCGGCCACAAACGCAGAGCGCGATATGCAGCAGCAGCAGCAGCATCATTTGACAGCACATGCAGCTCAAACAAACCTGGCGGCCACAAACACAGAGCGCGATTTGCAGCAGCATCAACAGGACCAGTGCTTGACATCGCAGGCAGCTCGAACAGACCTGGCGGCCACAAACGCAGAGCGGGATTTGCAGCAGCATCAGCAGCAGCAGCATTTGACAGCACAGGCAGCTCGAACCAACCTGGCGGCCACAAACACAGAGCAAGACTTGCAGCAGCAGCAGCAGCAGCAGCATCAGCAACACCTGACAGCACACATAGATAAAACAGAGGCAGGGGGGCGCGCAGCCACACAAGAGCTGCAACCAACGGGATCACACGCCCTGGCATCAGCAACAGCACGAGAGCAACCAGAGCAGGCGGAGGGAAACCCAGTTGCAACATTACACACATCACAGGCGCCAATGACGTCAGAGCATACACCTGAAACAGAACAGTTGGCGAAAGAAGCAGCTACGGCATCACGCGCGTTGCATGCCCCTGAGCAAGCAAAGCAACCAGGGCAAACAGCGGGAGAAGCAGCTCAGGCAGCGCCAGAGCAACCAAAGCAACCTGAGCAGGCGAATGCCCTGGCAGTGCCTGAGTCTATGACACAACCAGAGCAGGCGGCGGAAGCAAATGGATCGCCGATGGCAGTTTGCACAAAGCAAGAAAAGGCGGGGAGCGAAATGCCACAGGAGCTTGTGGTAGGAACAGGGCCAAGCATTGCAGCGCGCGTGTCTCGTGTGCG